TATTTTCTGGACAAATTCACTATAAATTTAAAATGAGGGCTTTTTAATCAAGATGGATTTTCCTTTTCCTTAGTGTTTAAGATTCATATCAGTCTATGTTCTACATGTAAAACAAAACATGAAGAATAATGCCTTGAAGTTTTGAATAAAAGCCTGAAATAGTCTATTTTTATGTATAATATATAATCTTTTTCATTCTTCTGTTTTGATGAGAGAACTGGAAAAAAAAAGTGAACTCTCCCATTATTTTCCCTATATTATCCTTAAATAATCTGCTTGTGATTATGAACATGAAATGATAAAACAAGGTAAAATGAAGGGGTTTTACCCCAGACACCTTGTTTGTAAGGTAGCAACCTATGGTTTTTTTCATCTTTATTATCATTATATATGTTTATTGTTTATTTATTTATTTATTTATAATCAGGATATTCAGGGAAGGTTTATCTAGTTTTATTACTGCAAAACCACTCAACAGTACCCCAGAGCTAAGGAAAAAGCTTTCCGAACAAACTAAAAGGTTTGGACATGCTTGAACATGCTCTGAATTTTGCAGTGTACTCCCACAGGGTATATGATGTTTATATTATGTTTTTTCCTAGCTTATTTCTTACGACATTATTTCTCTCATTAACTGTTTATTATATTATAGAAGTGTCTAAATGCCCTCCCCCATTTGTCTGGAATTATGTAATGGGGGTTTTGTTTAGCTTTATTTTCCTCTAGTACCCTAATTTTTTGCCTTCTGTTCACCCAGAACGGCTGAGACTTTGGACTCCATTAACACAAATTCTGTGGGTTTCAAGAGAGAAACAATAAACTTGCCTTGATTTTTCAAGATGGAAGTTGATGTATGGATTCAAAGTAAGACCCCATTCACTACAATGCAAATAGGGGATGAAGGGAACAAATATTTAGCTAAAAGATTGATTGCAGGAAATTTGAAGAATCTTTCATTGAGTGTTGAAATTTTAGAAGCAAATATGTCTCCTTACTGTTTAACAGTATGTGTTTCTGCATATTATTATTTATTTTCTTTCTATTGTCTTTAAAATGCACAATGAGGAAGGAAAGAAAGCAGGAAATTTACAGTAATCGAAAAGGAGAACAAACATCAACATATTAAGGTCATATATTTTCATCCTTCTTCCCCTCACTAAGTCTCAATTAATTTCTTCTGGGAACCATGTTGAAGACAACTTTGAAGAGAGGCTTAAATAAATTCTCCCACAGAATTTGGCAAGTGGAACCCAAATAGTGCATCTAGGTCTCAATTTTCTCCTCAAATTTACATACTTCTATTTGGAATGTCATTTCCCATGTTACAAGTGGTTACTGTATGAAAACCACTGGCAGAAGGGCATTAAGGTGCACTTATAATAGAACCCATCACTTTCAACTATTAACTCTTAAGATTAGTCAAAATATTTTTATGTGTGACTTATTCATCCTCTATGAATCCAAAAGATAAAAAATAGCAGCAAGCTATGGCCTAAAAACATACAAACACTGACTACAGGTATTCTAAGAACAGTGAAAAAACATATGACACATCTAAAACTAAACCAAGGTTCATTTCACAATAAGGAAAAAGAGACTTCAAAAATTTAACTCTTTATATGCATACACATTGCAGTTTTTCAGTTATTACATATGTATGCAAAATACAATATAAAGTAGCAACAAAGTCTCAGTTTCTGTCACTGAAGTTTTCATCTTTGAATTGCATATCTCTAATCCCACTGGAATTCCCCATTAGAAGTTCTTCTCTTCTTTGAAAATCTAATGGAAGACAGGCAGGGTAAAGCTAGGAGAATATATTCTGAATTTATTAACCAGTATTTTGTCTGCAGTGAAGAATGACAGAGAAATAGGTAATACAAACATTTAAGTAAATTGAGTTCCTTTACTTAGTAAGAATCACCAGTTGCAGGAGACTAGTAATTCTAAAGATTTAGCCAAATATATATATTTTTACTGCATCCTATTATATAGAAGAGATTTTAATATTCTTTAGAAATCTGCCTTGTAACTGTGGAAATAATGCTAATATATATGTTTAAAAATTAAATAGGCACCGTGTATAACTATGGTTTATAGAAATCAGCTTTCCTAAAGTTTTGAGGTACCCAGGTGAAAGTACTCTTACAGCAATTACTTCTGTTACCCAGGCAGGTAACGCGTCACAGTGTTACAATGTGCACCACTCCACTATCACCTTTTTCACCCTCTGCTCATTGTGATGTTACTGTCTTTTGAGATATTGAAACATGTTTTCATAACTGAATTACAGCACACCAAAAATATCTAGCATGCTATGCCAACAGTGTCACCTCTGCTTCCATCTGGGCCTCTCTGATCGACTCCAAAAAGATATCAAACTGTACCAGGAAATAACTTGGAAGGGAAAAACAAACCAAACAGCAAACAAGCAAAGAAAAATAAACCCCATCAAAATTAAACGAAGCCAAAATAATAAACCAAATAATAAGCCAAGCCCTATTAATTTTTGTCCTGGAAATTCTTGTGAAACTATGTCTTGTTCTAAACTCTGCAAACCAAGTGACTATTTGCTGAGTGTCTTGGACAAAATCCCTAAACATCCTCAAGGATTATTAAACCTGTTTTCCCTGGAAAAAAATAACAATTGTTACATTCTCCCTTTCTCCTTCTGATACTAAAAAGGAGGAAGCAGAGGAGAATATGTAGTCAAAGTTCAGAATTTTACTGAGACATTTTGTATTACTATGTTTTGCTTGCTAAATTGGTTTTCTGTTTCCTTCCATGTCACCCTCAAAATTCATCAGAAACCTCCTAGAAGATGATATGTCAATGTTGTTTATTCAAACCAGTGCATATGAATGAATCATACCTTCTAAAATAATATTACCACTAGAAATAGTGAATTACAATTATTATATATTTTTAATTTGTTCAAGATAGTAGATTTTTATGAATAGAAACTTGAAACCCTGTTTGACCCAAGTTGCTGAGGCTCAAAGAAAAACAGCAGATTGGCACTGATGGCTCTGGCTGAAGCAGTAGACACTGAGAGCAGGGAGATGTGAGTGATTCTCATTTGAAAATTAATAAATAGCACACAAACCAACACTATTTTTAAGGCTGGCAGGTGGCTTTCAGCTTTCTCTCTTATTGTGAAGTGAAAGTGGGAAATTTAGGGTTGGGCTGCTGCACAATGAGGTCTCTGCAGTTTTAATAGTTTCAGCAGCAGATGCTGTAATTGTGTGAGCAGGAGAAAAGAGGAATCTAATAATCTAAAATAATTTAAGGGAGAAGTTTTGAAAAATAAAGGCTAATAACATTAGGAAACATTTAAACAGAATAACACTGGAACTATGAACTGAGGATTTTGGCAGTTCCTAAACAATAGTGAAAAATGCAGAATTGTTAGGGTTGGAATGGATTTCTAGAGGTCATGTAGACAAAACTCCCTGTTCAAACAGGACCACCTAAAGCTGGGGGTTTTGGTCTAGATGATCTTGAAGGTCTCTTCTGACCAAAACCATTCTGTGATTCTATGACTTGAGATATTTTTATCTGTTTATGTAGAAAATGTACAAATATTAACGACAGGGACTGCAGCACAGCCACTGTCACCTAGAAGTGTGAGTGTTGCAACACCCAAAACAATCTTAGCGCAAGGCAGCATGGGAAAATTTGTAATCCCTTTGGATTATAAATTACTTTGGGGTAGATTTATGTGTATTATATGTACTGAGCAATTGGATCTGGTCAAGTGCTTGCATATGCTTCAAGGGGTGGTTATTAGGACACAGGCCAAAAAAATTAAAAATTTTTAAAAAAAAGTTAAAAAAAAATAGGCTGGACATAATGCCTTTAACGTGAAACACAGAGGTTCTGTGGGCCTGTGGCTTTAGTTACTTAAGCCCCAAGGAAATTTGTAAATGTTGATCATGCCTTTTCACTTCACCTGGTAGAGTTCTGTTATTGTGAGTGAATGTTTTACCCCAGGGCGTGGGGAAATAAGAGACTTCTGAAGTCGTGTCCTAAAGATTTTCAGTCTCTTCATGCCTTTTTGATGAAAGCAGGGTTTATATCTCTTTCTTGGCAATATATTTATTTATCATTCTCAAAATGCTCTCACACAAAGGCTGTATTCATATATATTCACCTGCATCTCTGTTTATTTACAGCTTAGCATGGGGAGATGAATTTCCATGATATTGAGAAATTAAGTCTGAGAAAGTCATTAGTGGTAGATATCTAGGACTTCAGAAAGCTAGATCAGTTGAAACTAGAGCAAGGATTTGCAGAAATATCAGTTTACTAGGGAGCATGACTGTTTGAAATGATACCTTTTATAATTAAATTTATCCAATGTTTTAGAGGATAAAAAAATTCATTTGATAAGTTTAAGGTAAAACTCCTGACCTAATGTTTTCAATGTAAAAACTTTTTACATAACAGTAGATATTAGTTACTGTGTCAAATTACTTTGGCACTAGAGTGATTCAGAAAACTTCAATTCTATCTCTTTTTGTGAAATAGAGTGAGAAGCAGCTCATAATAAAGAAAAAACAACTTGCTACACAATATTTTTTAGAAGCATTGCAAAATATCAATCACTTTTTTTTTTTGGAGGATTATCTAGGATTATCTACTAATGCTAAACATGATGATTGTTCAGAATTTTAGCTGTCACTTCATTTTTTGCCAACAAGGGGAAAATACTGCTCTTTTCTTTTCTAGAACATTGAAAATGAAGATAATTGCAATAACATGATACCTATTAAAATCAAAATGGAAATAACAGATAGTGGAACAATGAACTCATTGTAAACAGATAAAGTTTTGGAAACTGATAATTCCCAATACTTAGATTTTTGGGCATAGTTATGAAATGTATTTCCATTTGTCAACTTTTAAAAGTTTGAGTATTTTTTCATATAGAAAAATCTAGGGTGGTGCTTTAATGGTTTGTTGTGGGGGTTTTTTTTGTGTTTTTTTTTTTCTTTTCCTTTCTCTTTTTTTAACCTGTGGCTTGAAAGAAAGCAGCAGTGAAAATGAATTTCATGCTAGTAGACACTTTTAAGACTAGATTTAGCTGCAGTCACATTAGCTTAGATAATGGGAGAATTTTTCTTCATTGAAAATGCTCCCTGTCGCTTAAGAAGAACTCACTGAGGCAGCCTGCCATCTAGCTTTTTCACAGCAAAATAGGCTTGCAGACTGCAGATGAGAGACTCGGGAGCAGAGACAATTTTAACTTAGCCATCCCTAATTTATCTCAAGCTTTTTCAATTCATCTTCACTGCTCTATGCACACTGGAACACCAGATTGTCAACCCCTGGGAAAAGAAAGCAGCCAGGGATCTAGGGAGCTGTCACATCCTGAGAAATATTTAAATTGTGCTGATTTTCTTCTGGAGTGCTGAGCAGACGGAATGAAACTCTCCATCAAGTCATAGCTTTGCGGGCAATAGATCAGAGGATACTGCCAGTTTTCCTAATGGATTATTGTTATCGGGCAGGTTCTTCCTGAAGGTATGTAGTTACTCTCTCAATTCATTACCCACACTATTTATCAGGTAATGATCTAATGAACTGGTAATCCAGATACATTAAGAAAAATGTTAACTAAGTAGTCTGTATTGATTGAATGATGGCACTTTATTGCAGCATGTTTGCAGGTAAAATACTCTAATCTACTTACTGTAGATGTGTTGTACCTACTGCCAAGTGCTTTGTCAGCAATCCCCCCAAGCAAAACCAATCCCTAACCTTTAAACAAAAAAGCAAAAATCCATTGTGCTGCATATAATATTGCCACAAGTTTATGCTGACTGTCCAGAGAATGGTGTTTTCTGAAACAATTAATAAACAATAGCAAAATCATATGTCTGATTTTAAATTTGTTATAGATGAGTATTAATTTTGCAAAATATTTTCCAACCTGGATACATGCAGAACTCCCCTTAAAGTACTACAAATTAATTCTGGAGTTAGATATTTGATTGTTTACTATGATGTTCTAACCTTTCACATAGATAGTTACAATATTTCTTTCTGAAAATCTCTGATAGATATGTGACAGAAGCCTGTTGTTGCATCTGTACTGCCATACTCCAGGAGCTTCTTAGTAAAGCATAAGGATTATAAACCATAACAGGAGATTTAAAAATAAAATCTGTAAAGAATTTCTTGCCTTTTAAACTTTTGTGTTTATATGAATTACAGCATGTTCCTCCTAATCTGAATTGCTTACTGCATTTCTGTATCTTATGAGGCAGCCTGACCTAAAAATGAAAGCTCTCTAAATTGCAGAAGCAGCCAGACATTTTTGAACTCTTCCAAGCGCGGGAGTTGCTGCAGAGATGCAACTCTGCCACATTTAAAAGCACTGCCACATTTAAGTTAAAGTCCTGGCCTTGTTTCATTTCCAGGTTGGCACTCTAGCTGAGTGCAAGCTCTGAGACTTAAGAACAAATTGGCAGGTGCAGGGCTGAGCAGGAGTTAAGCCCTGAGAAAGTAAAAATGCTTATCTGTAGCTTCTTGTCCAGTACACTGGCTGGGCTGCTGTCATGCTACTTAGAGTAAATGATGTATGAGCTTGTCTGTGGTGTACTTGATTGTGCAGTTGATATGCTGGACTGGATTTTTAGTCACAAGACAGATGTTTGTCATATTTTTGAATATACTGCTGAAAGAAAGCAGTAAGATAGAAATAGATACAAAGCTGGGGTATGAAGGAGGTCTCAAAAGCCCATATTGGTTAAAAGAAGTAAATGTGAGACAAGAGCATTTTCTAGTATGCTTATCTTCCTCTGTTTAAGGAATATAGTTTGTTCAAGGCATTAATAAAAAATTACAGTAGTACTTGTTGCTCCTGTATGCAACACCTGAAAGTTCCTTTCCCCCACTGTCTTGGAAAGGATGAAAGAAAAAAGTAGAGAGATTGATTCTATCCTTTTCCAATGAACTCTCTTAAAGCATTTCCTTTCCTATGGACCTCAGAAAGACTCAGGCAAAGAGGCTTCCATTAAGCTCTCCCTAGAGGGTCCTACCATCATCAAGACATTTTTAAAAGGAAATGTGCATAGTAGCTGTGTTTTCCCCAAACTCTTAAACTTCTCACTTAAATATACAGAGGCATCATAACACACTTCTAGATATCCATGGATATTTAAGCATTTTGTGCAATCACTTATGAATGTTGTAACCTAGAGGGTAATACAGCCTTTTCTTATTGTACATTGCTCATATGAAAAAGTAAATTTCCAGATCACATTCCATTTTGTCTTCTTTGGGTTCAATTATATGTTTCCTTTAAAATGTTTGGCTACTTTAACCACTAGCTTTTTAAATATAATTGTTTCTCATGTTTGTGACTGGGGAGTAACCAAGAGCAACACAAAAGTATCTTGATCTTTTCTCCAAAACAAGACAAAACACACTAAAACTAGATTTAAATGGAAAGATGATATTAAATAATGGGAAATTAATGAACATTAATAGCTTTATGTTTCATTTTTACCTTATTTTTCCTTTTTTTTTTATCATGATGTTCAGTAATAGTCCTCCCCCATTCTCTTGATAAAGAATTCCGATGTACCCACATGTTATGCCATTTTCATGCGGATATTTCTACTGCCTTCTGATAGCCTTTTAGACCATTTTTGTAAAGAACTGTATTAAAAAATATGGTATAGCATAAATGGATGAAAATAGTCTGGGAAGAAAGCTGAAGCACAAATTGTTTCTTATGGTGTTAAATTTATAGTCTGTAGTCTTCTGCATGTACTGGTTCCATTGGCATTCCTGTTCCACCTTTAGTTTACTGTTCTTTCTTCTTTCCTACATTAACAAGTTCATTAAAAAAAAAAAAATAGCTATGCATAAGAATTTACAGCAATGTAATAAACACACCCATTTTATTTACATTCTTCAGCAGTCCTTAGCCAACACTGCTTATCTCCTGTGCCAAATTTTGCTGAAGCTTATATGTTGACTGTATTCCTTCCTTGATTCCATAGGTTTTGCTCCTTCCTGTTCTGCTGTGTGCTAGACAAATCATAAAAAAAAGGAAAAATTTTGACCTTTTTATGCAATGCTCCTGGTTTTCCCTTGCATTTATTTAACATGTGTTTGAGTTTATAATTTATTCTTCTCCCAGAGTGAGTCTAAAAAGTAAAGCTATTACACTGAATTGATGAAAAACAGGCAGCTTCTTGTGTCATTCTTCTTCCATCTGACTTATTTTAGATTTGGAAATATGGCTGTGATAACACATAATTCTATACAGTGGGTAAAAATAATATTTCTAGGAACACTTTTTGGTAAAAAGTAATTCATGGCTCTTTAATATCATCTGTTCTTTGAACTCTAGCAGGTAACTTGTGGCAAAAGTTCTTAGAAGAAGAAAGACCTGGGGGCATGGATAATGATAAAATGAATGTTCTCAGGCAAAACCTGTGTATTTCCAAGATCAGGATGTGCTATGACCTGATTTATTTCCTCCCTTTGCATGTCTTTCTACATTTCAGGACTGATGTGTTGCTGTTTAAGCATTTATTAAATCAATTATTTTGGTTCATATGTATCATTTACACAGGCCATTAACTAGACAGCACATTCAATTACATATTAATTCTGCTAAGATTTAAGTAGGTCTAATGACATACAGAAAATCTGTGTTTTCACACATATAATTTCACAATTTTGAGTGAACAAGAGTAAAATGATGGTTTTTCCTGAGAATCATGTCTGATTATTGTAAAGAAATTCAAGTAAGAGTGGTGGAAAGAAGATACAAAGCTAGCTCACATTTAACAAATTGTCTTATTTTGGTTGAAATGCTTCAGCATGTTCTCAAAGTGTGATCCAGCTTCTTAAATTGTGGGATACCTTGCCTAGCTACAAAGACAAGTCCAATGCCTCACACAAGTTTTGTGTTGTATCTTTTAGCCCTTTATTTTAGTTATGCAAAATATAAGAAATTTTATTAAACATTAATATTTGTCTGAGCTGATATATATGTTCATGTCCTAAGAATTTTTTAAAATATATAAATAAGCACTTGAATTCACTTCTCCTTCTTTACTTTGTCTCTATCTCTTAAGAGAATTCAGATCAAATAATAACACAATTTTAGTGACTTCTATTGTCCTAACAGAATAAGTGTAAAGCAGCTGATATTCCTATTGAAAGGGACATGCCTCACAAAAATATTGACAAGTCTGTGATTAAGTAAATTAATTTTTCCTTAAGGGTAATATCTTTCAGATTATGTATTTTTCAGTTAATTTTATAAAAGTGGACATTAATTCTTTTGTTCTATGTTTACCTTAGTTTGACATATTTTAAGTAAAGCATTTTGTTTTGAAACACTTGCAAAGATTTGGGGTTTTCTGTTTGTGTCCCCCAGTAACTCTGCATCAACTAAATGTTATGAAACAGATTTGAAAATCTGTAATAACTACCCCTATTACCTTTCTAGAAAACCCACATTTTAGAGCAAGAAAATTTGTAAGTGTATGTTTCAAAGATAATTTTAAATAAACTTTTTACTGTAAATTTGAATTGTGTTTCACCTTGCTATGCAGTAGAAAATAAATATGACTAAAATGTGAGAATATCTTTAATCTTTTCTTGTACTTTTTCTTTCTTTTATGTATTGCTGAGCATAGAAGTTATTCTGAAATATCCTAGGCTGGTCTCTTATTCTTGTCAATAAATATGCAGAATTTTCTGTAGTATGTATTTTCAGGTGCAATTAAAATTTGGTTTGTTCAGGGAAATTCAATATTGCTTTTCTAACTTAATGCTGTCATTACAATTACTGTATGACATAGAGAGATAAATAACATTACTGAAGAAATTATAGTGATAGATCTTGTTCTGAATGTCATTTAATATCCAGTTTGCCTCTTTCTCTCCTAGAAGTCAATACATTGAAGGCAATGGGATAAATGAGAGTGGAATCAGATTCCGTATGTTTAAGTATTCCAGTTGCCCCTTTACATCTATCAGCATGAAGTTTCTATCTTAAACTGTGTCTGTTAGTAGGGCTTTGAAAGGTACATTATTTTTTTGCACATAAAAATCCTTATGCTTTGATTTTCCAGCTGCTGCTGAAGACTGGCAAAACTTTTCAACAGTCCATAACTTCTCAAATTTTGAAAACTTAATCAGAAGTTAAGGCAGATGAAAAATTTATATTTCAAAAAAACTGAAAAAAATTCCTTGATTACTTCTTATTGACTTTGATGCCCGAAACTTTCATTATTTTAGGTGAATTTTTAATATTTCACATTAAGTGAAGTGTGTATTTCATATGGATATTGTTTGAAGGACACTTCTGAGGTGTGTTGTCATCACAAAAACTTCTATTGAAACACCTTTCAGGTTCTTATTTCAATATTTTTGAGCAGCAATTAACTTTGACAAAGATTGGTAAGCATGCAAATTTTTGTGAGAAACAAGAAGAATTTCTAATTTGTGTTTTTTAATATGTCAAACATATGGAAGGATAGAAGACTTCTCTG